TGCTCAGAAAAACAAGATACTAAGAAAACAATAAATGAGAGGAAGATGATAGAAAATAGTCCTGTAAGGTCATCATAAACAAACTCTCCCAAAAGACAGAAACGTTCCTGTTTAATAATAAGGCCACCTATGCTCTACAAACAGATGCTTTGCTGGAAGGACACGTGGTTCTTGAGCTATTAATGAGGTGCCCTCATTAATATAGCTGTGTGCGTATAATCCCTACATCAAGTCTGCAGAATACCCATTCCTCACACTGACGGCATTCATTTCAAAGAGTGATGTTTTAGATAATGTAGATAATTACATCACCCTACGTCAGAGCAGGTGTCCAGTACTGAGAACAAATGTCCCATCTCATAAACAGTGCAAATTAAAGCGCTAAAAGCAACAGCATTTAAATTGCTGGAAAATATTTTGCTTTTTATTTTTTTTTCCTATTATGTTCAAAAATCTCCTTCTCTAAAAGCATTCTAACTTTAAAGAACAGGCTTCTGAATTTTCTTTCATTCTGAGTGAACAAACATTATCCTTTAACAAAATTCCAGATAGCTTTGCAAGTAAGGACAGAAGCAGTCATCCATTAACAGGGAGGCAGAGACCTCAGTAAGGAAAAACAACATTGCCAAATTGCTGAGTTCATAAATCCAAGAGCTAGTTTGTATTACAAGCATCATTAGAGCGAATACAGATGCGTTTAATATTTAATCATCAGGGCCATGATGAACAAAGACAAATCCCTTCACACCAGACTTGAAGTCTGTTTTGTAGCTGCAGATGAACAGAACTGGTTCAGTTTAAAACAGACGGGTTGTTAACAGCCACAGAGCCATGTTTGTTAACCTACAAAAGCCAAATTTACAGGTTCTGCACATCAGCAGGAGTGTCCACACAGACCTGCACTCCCTGGCTGGCCCGAGGATCTCTGCAGCACTCTGGTTTCAGACACAACCCAAGTATAGCCAGAATTCATTCTATGTTCAGTTCAAGGGTGCCCAAAGTAAAGTAGGTGAAACCCAAGAATTTTTGGTGCAGGGAAGAGCTGGTATCTGGACAGGCTGGAGATTCTTAGAGGAGACTTCAGCTGTGGGTCTGTAAATGTACTTGGAAGTGAAGCCCCACCTGCCCTATTCCGCATCTCCCCCTGTGACTTGCAAAAACTCCCTTTTCCAGAGATACCTAGAAGCTGTGTTCTCAGAAAAAAAATAAAACAAAGGAAAATAAGCAACATAAAATATGTCTGGGCAGCCACTGTATAACCTAGCTGCTGCTGCTTTCTGTCCTCCCTCACTTACTCATTCATGACATGTGTCACTTGCACACCATGTAGAGACCAAGCATTTTGCAGCAGGGCTGTTCAAAAGTTCTCTCTGAAATGCTTGACACACTTCTGGTTGTCACAAAATAGATATAAAAAGTGAAGGGCAGGACCAAATATGCATTATAACAGGTATGCAGCACACCAGCTAAACTTCACAGCTTTCTTGCATAAAGAGTGAGACAGTGGGATATATATGAGTACTAGTAACTTATTAGATTTTTATGTATGTTTTACATCACCTCATGTAATTAACAGCTGGAGCCAGTTTGCATCCACTAAATGAAAATCCCTTAAAGCTCTTCCAAATCTCTCCCACTGTCATACTCACTATGTGTTCATTTTCATTTCCTTAAATGACTTAGAATACTGTTCTCTCCATAGCTACAGTACCTGTTAATCTTGCTTGATGTAGCTTGGCATTCAACACAGTGATTCAGCACTATGGAGGAGATATTTAATACTGAATAAATGGATGTGTACACTTTTAGCAGAAAAAGGAAACTGTGTTCTTTCCAGAGAAGCAAAGGGGTTTTAACTATACTGAGGCATTCAATTTTTCCAGAGGGGGTCAAAGAAACAGAAAAGAATATGCAGTTTTATACGTCAAATTGCTGCTGCCAAAAATCTTTAAGGCTTTTAAAAGACTAAATACGCTTAAAATTCATAATGTGAACAAAGTACTTAAAAATATGTTGTACATTAAAAGTATTTTATTATATGTGTGGGAAATACCAAAATTTTACACATGTCCAGTTTAGCTTGTTCTGTGCCTGGTTAACCTTCTGTAATATATAAAACCTTAGTAGACAGTGAAAATTATAATTATTCATGTATTAAAATGGTTAGATTTTCTTTACCTTACAGTTTAGTCTCATTGCAAGAAGAAACAGTTTATGTGGTTTTGAGATGAAGGAAGCGTGGTTGTGTTTGCTCCTTATTAATAATGATGATGGGTCAAATTAATCTCTTGAGATGAAGGAAGAATAATAAACCTTCAACATGAAGGGAAATGTCAACTCAAACATTCCTAAGCACCTTAAAGATGTTGGATTTGTTAACGGGCTGCAATAAAATGTGTAACTCAAAAATCATTTTTAAATGGTCTTAAAATTTTATTTTGTGGTATGAGGTATCTATCCCTATCCCCCTTCTTCTTACTCAGTCTGCCAGGAAGCTGTGTGGGAAGCCTTTCGTATTTTTCTGGATCGGATTCCTGATACTTATGAATATCAGAACTGGGTTACTGCCTGCCAGAGGGAAACCTTCTGCATCTTTGACATTGGCAAAAACTTCAGCAATTCCCAAGAGCATCTGGAAATAATCCAGCGGGTAAGAATTACCAACATTTGTTTAGAAATGGGGAAGATTTCCAAGCCCCTCCTCACCTGTACATATAAAAGCAAAGATTGTTAAGGAAGAGAAGGGGGCATGTAATAGAAGGAAATCATAAAAATCCTATAAACAAAGGGCTAACAGACTTCTGCTTTATTGTTGAATACACCCACTAGTAAAATGCTGTTTTTCTTAATCTTTTTGCAGCGAGTAAAACATAGAACCTTCCAGGAAAGGTAAGTAAAGCAAAAGTAGAAATCTTGCTGCTTGGTGATCCCGCCTTTTTATTGAAAGTGTTCCATGTAGATGCGTGTGGATGTGACAAAATATACCCAGATAGCACTGTGTGGTATGGGGTGTGTGCTGTGACAGATGTGTATACTGCACATATTGTAGTACAGAGTTAACTGAATCATAAATAAGGAAAGTTGCCCAAATGTTTGGGTTGCCAATCTCCTTTGAGGCAGCAGGTTCTTTTAGGCGAACTTAAGCATGACTCTCCAGCAGAGTCAGTGCCTGTTAGCCATCAGACTAGTTTTGATGCTGTGCTGAGCTAAAGCTTACCCACAACTTCAATTCTTCTCAAAAGGAAAATCAGAAAGGTTAAGATAAGGTTTATGTTAGAGGTTACAGAAGCAGCAGGGCAATAAGTGAATGATTTCAGAGTTTTTATGCTCTTTTTGAACATTACAGCTTTCAGCACAGTTCAGAAGATGAAGTAAATTATGTGAATATTTTAGCTGGAAATGTAGTCAGCTGTGTTACGCATAGTTGGATTTCATCACTACAGTGCAGTTGGAGGAAACAGGTTGCCCTGTACCTTCTGTAGAGATCATGTAAAGAGGTCAGTCTCACGGTCAGGCAGGCATTGTAGTCAGGCACTGCCCATGTTCTTTAGGTATGTTACTAAAAAGCAAGGTTGGTTCTGTACACAAATGCAACCCACCCCTCTTTTGCTGTGTATATTTTATGAGTTTCACAGTGCTAAATGAGAAGACCATACTGCATTTGCAGTGCCCTGAATTCTTTCGCTTAGATCAGTCTCCACAAAGACCTCCAGTTTCATGTAATGCATTAATAATAACTATTATAACTATTAATAATAGCATATCTAAGAATCTGATTTTTTTCCAAAAATTACAAATGAATAAAAGTTAGTTTTTACAGAAGAAATTATTCTGTGGTCTTTTGGAAAGCTTTAACTGATTTATTACAGAATGTGCTTGCATATATACATCTGTCATCTGTGCTTATCAGGCAAGGTAAAACTCTCACTTCCAAAATTCATTCATCAGCACCTATCTGTAAAACTTACAATAGAAATAATAAATACTAATAATAGCAACAATACAAAAACTAATGCTGTGATGTACCCTGATAGCATGCAGCATAGTAAACGAGAGCATACTTGATTTGGATGAGTTACAAGGAAGTTTGCTCCCACTTTAGTCAGCACACAACTCTGCTTTCTGGTCAAAGACAGAAAAAGCAAGCCCTGCCAGTCTAGTCGGTGCTTTGACAGTACTATGAGATTTCATTTCTGCGATCCCTCTTCTCCCCATCTGCTCTTGCACTGCCCAGTTTAACCGAGTCATCAAAATATTTCATTATAATTCTTTCATTTAATATAAGAATGATTTCTATATTTTGTTACGTCTTTGCCATTGCGAGTAAAGCACTGTAGATCACTAAATCACTCATTTCTATTTGATTGATAGGAAAGATGAAATATCCACAGAGAAAACAGGCGGCAAAAAGCTGGAAGACATTCCTTCCATTTCTACAGGTAAAAATCAAAACTGCTTCCTCTAAGTTTGCCCATTAAATGGACTGGCTAAAGCTAGTGACATGTAGACCATAGAAGGCTGTAATTTAATGAATGCAATAGGAGCATGACAAACTCAGTGAATTGCAATAAGGAAAAATGCTTTGACAAAAGGAGGTACAAAAATTACTTTTTCACTTCTCGATAACATGCCTGCTATGAGGTTTTTTTTCAGGTTTTTTTTTCACAGTCTTTAGCTGCGTCTTATGAGCTATGTTTTCTTAGTTTCATGTGCAGTGAGTAAAGCTAATTCGGCATCAGTCATGAAATAACATTTAGTCTGTCAGCCACTGCATTTTGTCAGGCAAAATGAGCAAACAGATGAAAATAAAGAATGATCCATAGCCAGAGAGCTGCACTGATGCCATGACATTAATTTAAGTGGTTTATTCGGTCTAGATGTATCAATACTGTTGTGTTCCAAAGTTCTTTAAAATAATGCTAGAAAATTATGCAGTGTTAAGGATCTGCAAATAAGAGCAGTTTGGTTCAGTGAGGAGGCATCCTGCAAAGAGGCCTGCAGCAGGCAGTTTCGTCCACCCTTGCACACATCCCTGTTTTGTTTCGTTTTGTTCCCCCCTCTCCCAGGCTCCCCCGGCGCCTCCCTCTCTCCCTACGCACCAGTTCCCAACGGGACGCTGCTCAATGAAATCGTCAACGACACAAAGACTCCCGTGAAGGTGAGGACAGTTTTGTGCCCATCCCGCTTATTGCTTCACCTCTGGTTTTGTGAGCTCAGGTAGCAAAATTGGCACTCGAGGAAGGGACATTATTTGCCCCAGCCGCTGCACAGCCTTTGCGGAAACTTCCAGAAGGGCAGCGGCAGCGGCAGAGTGATGTCAACCACATTCACCCCAAATTCCCCAAACTGGCTGGACGTGGCTGCTGTTCACAGCGACATATCGCTCACCTGTGTCACGGCTGTGGGAAGGGAGCAGCTGATACAAACACAAAGAGAAAATGGGGTTAAGATCTATTTCTTTTTTTGTGACAAATTTGCGGTTTACTAGGAGACTGGCCCTAATTAATCCCTTGTTTTTTCTCTCCTTTGGTGTCCCAGTCCTTAGTAGCCATCTCCCTGAAGGAACTGAGAAAGTCATGTCGCAGCTCTATTTATAGGATAAAAACATTAGTTCAAGGTGTTTGTTGTATAATTTCGTTCTTGTGAGCAGCACAGTGTGATAGGAAACAGTAAACAAAAGAAGAGGGCTTTTAATAACAGTGCATTCCACTGCACAGGAAAGATGTAACACAGATAGAACAAAGTCTATTTTTTTACCAGAAAAAAAAGCAAAGCAAAACAAGGCTGCAAATGTCTAAACATGGAGCAGCATTGGACAACCTGTCAATCTCCTCTGACCCACTAAAGGTGTCTCCGGTAGGATACTAATTGCTTTTAGCATCTGCCTGTTCCTCTCCTTGAGGCCACAAAGCTTCCTCCAAAGTGGCAATTACATCTGTATTGCTTTCATTGCGTTGGAAGCCAGAAAACTTTTTGCAATCCTCATTTTGTACCAAATGGCTGATTATCACCCTCCTTTATGCATATCATAGGTACTCACAGTACTATACACTTATAAAGGCAGAAGAATTAGGTTAACAACAGATGTGGTTAGGAGTCCTCGCCCTTTGCAGGAGAGAGTTTGGAACATCATTTTGGGGAAGGGCTTAAAAAGGAGCTCCCCTTCCTGTTAAATATGGAAGTGTGTGGAAAACAAACAGAAAAAAACACAGTAAGGTATGATTCTCCTCTTTTTCCCTTTTGCCTTTTTTCCCCCTCAGGAGCTGGGAACAAACACAGTTCCAGAACTGCCCGTGGAGCAAATGGTGGAGTTCAGTGTCACCCTTACAGATCAGGAGTACACGCCGGAGCTGAATGACCCTGAGTCCCCGCAGTACCGGCAGCTCGCGGCCAAGTTTCAGCTCCAGGTAAGGAGGCTGGCGACGGGCTTTGTACACCCTGACAGGCTCATAATAAGAAACTGCAGAAATGTGCTCACCACAGAGAAATGAAGGCACTTTGGCAACTATCCCTAGCTAGGCATCCCACTGCTGTGTGTTGGTCGATTAAAATGCTGGTTTGCAGGTCTCTAGGGACTGGGTTGCTGATGGTCAATGAGGGACATGGGCAGAAGTTAATAGACTCTAACGCTGCCAACTCTCTGTACTAATTCAAGATGTCAAATTTTCAGGCAAGTTCAATTATGAGTATCACAGGATGATTATAAACAAGACGGCAGTATAAATTATAAACCATTGCACTACACAAGGAAAGATCAGGAGTGTTATTGATATCAGCAGTACAGGGCAGAGAGGCACTGGTCAAACAATGCACCTTCCAAACCCGCCTGGATGCCGCCCTGTGCCACGTGCTCTGGGTGTCCCTGAGGAGCAGGGATGTTGGACTAGGTGATCTCTAGAGGTCCCTTCCAACCTCAACCATTCTGGCATTCTGTGATTCTCTTTGGATATTGATAAACCATTGTTGTTCCCCAGGAACAATGTGTAGTAAAGCCTTGTAATTTTTCCTAAAGAGCACAAAGTTGGGGTACTCTTCATGCTTTGTATTTACTTAGTGTCTGCCATCACTGGGACTTCCACCATGAAACTGAACTAGGATCTAAATAACTGCCCTTGTTTAAACCAGGTGATGCTTGATATTGTCTCCAGTTTTCCTTCAGGTAGAGCCAACTTTTCCCCCTTTTTAGGACATCTGTTCAGCTACCAAGCTTCCAAGCCAACATCTTTTTAAAATGTAAAGCCTCAGATAACTGGAGAATGGAGTATTAGACCCCCCAGTAGCTTTAGAAATGTCATTTGAGCCTAATGGGGAATTCCTGGACAGTACTTTGATATAATTTAATTTCTACCAAAAAAAAAAAAAGGCAAGCTAATGGGAAATGAAACAAATGAAAAAAAATCCAAAGAAAGAGAACAATTTCCAAGGCATTTTGTTATGCATTACTGTAGTTTCTTCAGGACCTGTGTTTTTATATAATTAATAGCATTAACTGAACGTTCAATTAACAGTTTCATAGGTAGCAGTTACAAAGCTAAGGTTCCCAAGAGATTTGCACAGTAAAATTAACTAAAGCTTATCATCCATTTCATATGTACTCCTTGGGACAAGCTATTTTACTATTCTGGTTCAGGTTCAGTTATACATGGAAAAATGATGATGAAAGTGTTGGCAGAGCTGGTGAAAAGTAGGTTCTCTGGAGATTTCTGGGATTATTCTCACACAGAACACAAAGCCTGCAGGCTTTGCTTGCTACATCTAATTTTGTAATTCAGCTATCTGACTTTTGAGTTAGTTTGCTATTGTTGTTTTAAAAAGTTCCTGTAGTATACATGAGAAATATATGAGGAAAAAAATGCAAAGTTTCTTGACTGCTAAACTGTTCTCCATTTTCATGAAATTTTATCCATCCACCTGAAAGCATCCAGAGCCGTTCTTGACACACAGTTTTAAATAGAAAATAAATTGTAACTCAAGACCATGAAATACAGTCAATGTGTTTTTCTCCAAAGTACACTGTAGGGGTGAAGGTGAGGAGGTTTCAATCTGAATGTAACTAACTCCTGCACAGACCCCAAGAAAAAAAGCCTTAAGTTGGGACTGTGGGGCTCCAGCCTCCTATCAGCTTCGAATCCTAGGACATGGCAAAAGAGAGGAGTTACAGCAGGCATTTACAATGCAAATGTTCTGAAGGACATTTTTATATTACAGAATTTGTTTAAAATCATGTGAAAAATGGAATACACATTCAATTGCTTATGCTACTCAGTGAATTGAGTTTTGTTTGGCAAAAGTAAGAAATAATAATCTATCTATGTGCAAACTGTTAAAAGAAAGCATTATTTATTATGGCATAAAGTGAACCAGCAAGAGCCCAGAGCAACAGTCATTTGGCATGATACATCTAAAAGACAGATTCCGCGTCATCATCATCAACATCTGTTGCCATTTTAGGTGCCTGAAGGTATCCGAATATCTGCATAGGGCTTTCAAGTATGAAAGCAGCAGCTGAGCAGAAAACCTTGGGGAATCTAAAATGATACTGCAGGCCTATGTTTAGGAAAATTGATTTTATCCTACTGACACAGAATTTATTGATATTTAGGTCCTTAACATCTGTAACCTTCAATATTATTGCCTTGAATACTATTAAAAATCTTCCTGCAGTCTGATTATTAATTCTGCCTCACTTTTTTCTAATTACCAAGTTCAGAAGCGAAGCAGCCATCTCACTTCCTTTCCTAATTTCCTCTTGTGAGAGATGGTCAAAAGGAATATAGAGCCATAAGCTGAAACTTTCTCAACCCCTGATAGAACCCAGAAAAAGAGCAGGCATTAAGCAACAGCCAGTGAAACATACCACCTTGGTTCCTTCAAAGACTCGGGAAAGTCTGAAAGAAGACTCTCCTTCTCTGGAGATCTTCAAAACCCGCTTGGATGCAGTCCTGTGCCTGTGCCACGTGACCCTGCGTGTGCAGGTTGGACTAGATGACCTCTAGAGGTCCCTACCAACCTTAAGCATTCTGTGATTCTATGATTCTATCATTCTAAGGAGGAATGGAAGTGAAAATCTCTGCACATGAGAGAGCTTTACAGATATTCCTGTCTCACCTTCCTTGGGGTTACCAACCATTTCAAGTAGTGGTGAAACAGCTAAGCTGGTTCTGAGTGCAAACCTATTCAGGCAAATTCTCCCTCATGAAAGAATTTAAATACATGCTGAGTTTGTACAGAATCATACAACTAAGAAAGTGGAGAGACTTCCACATTTGTTCATGCTTTTTAAGTGATACACTGAATTAAAAAGACCTGATTCCTCAAAAGGCTTTTTCATTTCTTTTCAAGTGCTGACTTCCCTTTACTCCGCCGACTTCGCTATCAGATGAAAGGCCGAGAGGATGTGCTGCCTGGTACTTAGCAGGACCAGGAAGTTAATCAGACAGGAACTTTGCTTAAAAATATATTAAAAAATCCCTCTGACATACTAGAAGTACATAAAATATTTCATTTGACTTCGCTCTATAAATCTTACTACAGTTCGAAGAGATTCATTAGTGTTTATGATCGGCTGAATACGTTGCAAGTGTTGGAGGTGCTACTAAAAATACTTACCCTCTGAAGCCTAAAAAATGCATAGAAAAATCACATTTTCTGTTCATTATTTGTGCTTTGTATTGGCTTTTCTATTTAAAAAGTGCTAGCTGCACAATTACTTGCAATAGAATTAAAAATATGTGAAGTGACTGTACAGGACAGTTAAAATGTTTAATTTATAAATAATTTCATAACCAATCTAAATGCATCAGCATTTGGTCAACATTTTTTAAAAATAATTTACAGTTAAGATGAATTACAGAGTAGTTCATGAAACAAAACTTTGATTGAATCAATATAGTTTGACTTGCTCTCTTATGAACTAGATTATCACTAATTTACATAATTACAATACCAAAAAGATGTAATTTCCTTTTCTTTTTTCCTGTTAACAGATAATACAGACAGCATATACCAAGCCAAATAGTGTGTTTAAGTTGCAATAATGATACCAAAAAATGGCAGTTGACACAGGTTCCATAAGCTTTTATTGAAATATGAAAAATATGTTCTAGGTAACGAACCTGTGCCTTTGCTTTTTGGCAGCAGAAAATAAATAAATCATTTAGCAGCAGAACTTACACTGACTTAATGACCTTTTTTTATTATTATAGATGCAAAAAATATTTGAGAAACTTCCAGGATTCAAAGAAATCCATGTATTAGGATTTAAGTAAGTAAGAAAATGGGATTCATTTTTCTATTGACTGTGAGGATTCTCATCTCCCTTTTCTTCTCCAATATCAAGAGACCTATTAATAGTGGAGCATGTATTGCTATAAATAGAAATTTGTTTTCTGGGAACAATACATAGGAAATATCAAGTGCAAATACATCCCAAGTGAGGCTGTAAGCCTTTGAATTATTAAGCAGGAGAAGCAGTTTTAGTTCCCCAAGGAAATTATAAATACTGTTCCAGGTGATTAGTAATGTTTTCAAATCATTTGTTTGCTAACAACATTGAAATATGAAATTTCTTAAATTATGCTAGGCGAAGAGTGTTAAAAGCTTGAATGATTTGGGTGCATGGGGATCCTGTGGTCTTTATAGAGCACAGTGAAAGCACTTTGGCAAGAGGAGGATACGATACATTCGCACGTGCAAAATTTTTGCAATAGGCTTCTTCTATGTACTTCCAACCATTCAGATGCTTTACTTTTGAATAAATTTCTGTCTTCCGTCTTCCCCTTCTTATATTTTTAACTTCCTCCTATGTTTTCTGCTAATACAAGATATTATGTATTGTTTCAATAGAGAATCAGCTTTTTTTTGTTCGTTTTTTTTTTCAAAAAAGAGTATTTCATATGGTTGATTCTATAGATCAGGCTATGCAATAGTCCAGAGAAAACAAAATTACAAATAGCAATTAAAGCCTGAAAGAAACTGAGAGGAAGAACAAGAAGAGACATACATTCATGTGGGCTTATGTCACAGCATGAAGAAGATGCAGCTCTGTTAATACTTGGTACATGTTGGGGGAAAATCACATCGGAGTGTAATTTTAAACAAGGACTTACTTTTCCTGGCTATGCTCTCTGCAAAATTACTGGGAAAAGGGAGAGTTAAGAACAAAACATAGTGAAAGCAAGTTGTTAAACATTTTTATAGCAAAAGGAAGAAAAGCAAAAGCAGACTACTACAGAAAAAGTGGAGAAAATCTGTAGAGGCATCTTGCAGTCACAACTGATGCTAAATAACCTCCTTGAGTTGTAACTCCTTAGAGATCTGAGATCAATTTTTGTTTAGTGTCTTGATCTTCAGTCTCAGATGCTGATGAAAAAGCACGTTCATCAAAATAGAAGACCAGGATTGTTTCCCAAAAGCAAAACCAGTCTTAGATATGTTGTTGTCTGCTCTCCTTTGGCTGTTTTGGTACATTTGTTAGCAGAATTTGCCATAAGGCAGTGCTGAAGGACAATATTAGAGATGTGCCAGAGAATTCATCAGGGAAATGAAAATAACAGGGCATTATGCAGCACTCAGCATTACATTACAGTAGGTCACTACAGGCAAGTCACCCAGAGGTAATTGATAGGTCAAGTTACCCTGTGATTAGGATCTGAGCTACCAAGTACAGGGACAGCAATAGTCGCCACTTGTCATCATGGGTGTTTGTTACCACTCTAAAAATGTATAATAGTGATGACAATAGCTTAGATTGCATAAGTTTTTATTGGAAATACAAAAACAAAGTTTTCCATCTATCAAGATACTTCTTCTCATTCATGAAGATTTGTTTGAAAGAGAAACACTGCAGTGATGGAGGTTAGGCTGTAATTTTCACCCTGAGGTAAAGACTATAGAGATAAGTAGAAGATAAAATGTCATGATGCTTTTGATGTATGACTGCATGGTTCATCAGTATACATGAATCTCTGTTTTTCTTTCTTTTGCACTGCATTATCACACCTTTTTTTCTGTGTTGGAATGAAGACAGAAGAAGGAAAAAGATGGGTAATTTGTCTGTGATTAATATGATTAACCTTTTTATAAACTAATTAATGTAGATAGATACATCCATTAAATACTTTTTTATTTTGATGTGACAAAGTAAATTAAGTTGTGTTCTGCCCAAGTACAGAATCTTTTGCCTTAATTTGAAAGATACACATAATCAAATTCTGTCAGGACCTTTCTGAAGAGTAGAATTGTCTGAAAAAAATCCATGTTTAAATAACTGGAGATCTCCACTGGCCATAAACTTAAAATGAAAAAAAATAGAGAATCTTCTTATTTACATTTTCATTTTTAATTAGCTATTTCTTATCTCTGTTTTTTATATATATATACACATTCTTCTCAAAAAAAATGTAGGATTTGATTTGCATAGATACTACCTTCTAATCTGATAAAATACTGGGAGCTCTTGACTGCTAATACGTACCACTATGGGATTTTTTGTTATTGCTTGAAAGTGCTCCAGGAGAATCATTTCTCTAGCAGCTCTCAGAATTTCTCTTTTACCTATGTTTTAGAAGGAATTGTGTTGCATAAATACATAGTACATACTAGATAAGATGAAATTTCTTTCTCTCTGCTTATGTGATACTGTCAAAAGCAACAGAGTGCAATACACATTTCACAAATATGTTTGTTGCTTTTTTCACTTTAGTTAAGTGCATCTAGCATTTACAAAAAGCGATGAATTAATAATTGAACTAGTACAGCTAAGCAGAATCTATACACACACTCAGAGTTGGAAAAGCTAACTCTATGGAAAATTATTTGCTTTCAACATTAGTTAATTTTCTTGTCTGTTCTTCAAAAGATTAAAAATTATATGAAACATTAGAATTTTTGGTTATATGCAGTTCTATAAACTGAAGACTGTTTACTCACTTTTCATAAGCTTCTGCATAACCAATAGGTGATTGTGGCTTCTGGTGACTTCCAGCTTGCATTTATAACTGTGTGAACCAATAACTTCACACTTTATTAACAGTCCTACAGGTCTCTGAGTAGTCAGCTTTAAGTGGATTATGTTAGGACATTTATAATGTTATTCAAAACTGGAACTTTTATTTTAGAATGATGTATAGAAGAAAGAAGGCTTAGGGATAGCAGAAGTAATTTGTAGATGACTATGTCACTAAAAAGAAGTATATCTGTGTTATTTTTATGAGTGGTTATATTTTGGGGCTGCTGAGATTGTTTGTTTCTCTAAATTAAGTCAGTCCTCAACCATTAACTGATTTAGTTGCACTGGGCGTTATTGTACCCTCCCTTTGCAGATCAAGCAGCACTATAGCACGATACGTGGTAAACTTTGAGAGAGATGGCTCAGACATCAAAAGCCCAGCAGATGACCTCACAACCATTGGCTCTAACAAGGTTGAAAATGAAAAAACTCCACTCTCTCCAAAGGACGAGAAGGAGGTAGCTGCAACTAAACTCACAGTAACCGATCTTCAGCAGCTGGTTGCCACCGCGCTCCATGAGGACAGGTCCCTGCCAGTGGACCTCGGAACACTTCAGTTTACTGATGGTCAGTAGGAAAGACACTACAGGCCTAAACCTTGCCTGGCAAATATATGCAATTTGAGCAAGGTCTTTGCCTCCCTCACAGATCATTTTCATTTGACATGGCCCATTTTGCTGTATATTGCGTTACAACCAAAGGATGCTTAGATCTATGTTAAATTTAAAAACAAAATCATAGAATCATAGAATCATAGAATGCTTAGGGTTGGAAGGGACCTCTAGAGATCATCTAGTCCAACCCCCCTGCATACGCAGGGACACCTAAAGCACGTGGCACATGGCCTTTTATAATTTTAGAGCCTAACTTCTTATCACGTTGGAGGTTCTATTCATTTAGAAAAGCTGAATATTTTGTGGATTCAGACAAATAAGAGGAGAGGAATCAAGAAATATAGCATAAAAATCCACAAAATCATTTTGATTTCCCAGTATGGATAATCTCCTATTTTTAATAAGAGAAAAAGTGAGGGTTTCCTCTAACCTAGATTTAGCTATCTAAAAATGAAGCCTCCAATGTAGGCAAGCTATCTAACCTTCCAGCGGAGTCACAGGAAAAAGGCAAGCACTTTTTAAAAAGCATTTGATGTCAAGCTAAAATTGGTGATGTGAATCTCACACTGTGAGGGGACATTTCTTTCCCTGAAGCACAGATGGAGCATAGATGACAAGCGTAAAGAGCTGAAGCTGGGTCCCCTTGTAGTGCATCCATTATTTGTTCAAAGTTAGTGTAGCCCTGGTTTTGAAGAGCTAGGTTAATTTTTTTTTCATATATATATATATACACACACACCAATATATTAAAACACAGCATATTTTAGTAAAACACTCAGCATATTTTAGTCATTATGTGTCATTTATAAACAGCAGCATTTTCTTCTACCAAAAATGTTTCAATGAACCAGTATTTTTGGCATGATTAAGATTAAAAGTGTCAAGAAAAAAAATAATGTGTGTAAAATATTTTAACAATATCTCTTTCTGAGTAACTTTTCTCCCACTAGCTGTTTTTAATTGCTGGTTTTAGGAAATCAGCTTGCATGCGAGTATGTTTTACAGTGCTCTTCAGAGAGGGTTAAGGAGCAACTGGATGTTAAAGCCAAAACTCCTGAGAGTAGCAATGCCGTGGACTCCGGGAAAAACTGGAGAGTTTTAGCTTAATGAACAATGCAGCGTAATGAGTCATCATAGCCCATGTGAATTTCACTGAGTAGTTTGTACTTCAACGGGTTTTAATTATTCATCCAGCTATGCATGGTTCAGCCCTCTGCAGACCTATCCCATTAATACTATATAAAGAGTAAAAAGAATAGTGCATATAAAATTCCTACTTTCCTCACAATTGTCAGTTTAAATTGAAGCTTACGCTTCTTTCTTCTTAACATTGATTTTTAAAAGTCATTTTTTGATGGAAAATAATGGTCTTAATACTATTTTTTACTGAGTTTATAAGTTTTAATCAGTTGTCAACGTGATCATCTTGAAACTATTCAGTTCTTTGTATGTGTGTGTATAAAAATATGGTTATTTTTTGCAGAATCTATTAAACCACCTAGTGATTCTGATAATGATATCCAGTCCATGGTCACTATTCCTCTAGCTACCCCTGAGCTGGTAAGTTAATTCAGGGTGAGATTTTTATTCATTTTTTCCACAAGAAGTGAATTTAAATGGTCTTAGAAAGACCTTAGTGTGGTGTTCCACAGCAAAAGCAGAGACATTATTTAAAGTATTTACAGATGAATACTGCTGCTTGATACCTTTGCCATTTTTAATTATAAGGTAAACCATGGTTCATGAGTAATACACATAAAATAAAGTAACACATGTCAGTGAGAGAAGAAGAGCAAACGATAGGGATAGAAGTCATCTTTGATTTTAAAATAACAGGCAATGTGATTAGGATCACATGCATATGTCAGACATTTTATATATCCCATGACTTCATGAGAAGTTAGTTTCTCATAAGATCTTTTGACTAAATATTATGAGACTTTTTTGCAGTGAACGTTAATGCAAATGACTGCATTCATCTTTCTTCCTACTGAATCCCTTTTTTAGGAGGACTCCATGAGTGTTGAACTCCCGCTACCTTATCCCAGCCCAGCACCAGTGGACCAAACAGGAGACACCTCAGTCGGTGAATTTGCAACTGAAACCCCTGTGCTAAGTGGAGAAATCAGGGTCCCTGAAGACTTTAATAATTTTGTTTCATCTGAAACTGCATTTCCTACCAAACCTTCTCGAGAACTGTCTCGAGAGAGACTTTCTACAAGCATAGAAGATACCACTGTTGACCAACAAAGTTTCACAGTGCCTTTCAGTGCTCTGGGTAGCACGCACAGTCCTCCAAAGGAAGAAGATTCCTATTTGCTTCCTTCAGCAGATGAGTACACCAGCAATGAATTAATCACTGATGACTTGGAGTCCCCAACAGAGCAGGCCGTCACGCTGGCACTTTATACCACAGGTAGCTTTACCCCAATTACTTTCCTGGAAGCTAGTGATGAGAAGAGTGAAGCAGAGAGGGAGAAAGAGCTGACTGGAATAACAGAACGACCTTTCAAGGAAGCCGACCAAGATGATCTGACTGGACAAGGTAAGAAGCAAAAAACATTCCCGTTGTTAGAAAGAGTGGGAGTGATTCAATTGTTCCTACACATACACAGTCACATAGGAGTACTGTAAACATTGTTTTAAGATTTCAATTTCAGTTGTCGCAGAAATATTTCTGGACCATCAAGGTAGAACACACTTTGCATTTGAGATGCCGCCTTCTGCTTTATCACATGTATAGGAAAAAACATGTTATAAGTGAAAAAACAAAACTATATAAATCTTGGTGGAGAAACTTTAGTACAATCTAAAATGAAAAGATAGGCATGTTTTCCATATCTAGCAGAAAAGCGTTGACCCTGCAGATGAAAAAAAAGTCAGCAGAAAGATAGCAGAGTGAGCTTAAGGGCAAACACAAATCATGGTTTTCCATAGCGCAACCAAATACTGACAAGTCTGCTGCCTCCATCGCCTGTATCAGCAGCCTGGAAATCCAGGCTGGATACTGTGGAGAATTATGGTGTGGGGGCAACTGGCATGTATGGGATGGCAACTCCCTATACAGCATCAACCTTTGAGCACCAGTTCCTGCCATCCCCCTCCATCTATTCCAAAATTTCAAGATGTCATAGAGGAAACAATATTTCTGGGACTGTCATTCCAGAAATATGGGAGGAAATAAAACCTTTTGTTATTCTGTTGTACTTGTACATCTCAGTCTTATCAGCCTGGATCATCCTCAAGCTCTCAAGAAACACTTAAAGAGGGGAAGACTCTGCAGAGTGTGTCACAGTGTTTTTCCTGTGAGAAGAACACTGATGGTGATCACATCTCTGTACGTGTGACTGGTAAGAGCCTCACTCATGAACTGTATTTTCATAATTGCTCTCATATTGACACAGCCTTGCTTTGAATGGAGTCCTTTGTCATCTTCCTCCTGCCTGTCAATTAATTTGGTTATAGCCCTCCTCACTCACTGCTATTTCCTAGCAGTCTCTTGAAAAGCTGAACTGTGGGTGTCTGGCAGGTTCTTTCTACCCCTGGTTCATCTCGAGTTGCCTGGAGGTCATGTGTGTTGTTTGGCATAGCCTTCTTTTTGGCACAACCAGCCTTGTCACAGAAGAGAAAAAACCATCACTTCCTGGGGAATTACTCTGGATGCTCTCAGGACTGGAATTCACCCACTGTTTGTGCCAGACATGCCAGCCAGCTTTTTTGGCTTCGCTGGTGATAACGGGTAAGAACTCCTCTGTTGTCATTTTATAGTCTTCTAGTTTTGTTATGTTCCCTTTGATCATAAAGTGAGAAGCTTCTCTCAACTTTCTCCCCTGTCAGATTCTCTCTGCATCCTTTCACCCTCCCTGATTGTCACTGGCTGCTTCAGATGTGCTAAGAAGAATGGTTTTTGTGAAGGTGCTGATTCAGTCTGGCACTCGGACAAGTGAAAAGGTAGGTCTACTTGCATAAGTTTCTCAAGCATGATATACAAGGTTGATGAGCCTAAAAATTATACTTAAATTGAAGATGATCTCCTAAAAACACAGAAAACCTAAACAGAGTAAAACTTATATCACATCCTCAAACATACTTAAAAATGTTAAATTGAAATTAATAATCATCTGAGCAAAAAGGCATGAGACAAACGGTACTATCTATATACCCAGTTTAACACATCACTTGCTCAAAGTATCCAGTTTCACCCATTCAGTTTTGTTTTAAGGTTAGACTTTCCTTCCTTCAAATATGATTCCTTATTCAAGCATCCCCAAATATGCAGTATAAATGCATTTAACAAAAGCAAGTGAGACTCTGTGTGTTTTATATACAACCGATAATCCCATGGACTCGGTGACATTACTATGTAAAGTATATAAAAAAATACTGTATTTCTGCTGAGAAAATCTGCCTGCACAGGGGCATTACTCCTAAAGCCATTCGTACCGTGAGAAGGCTCTCCCCCTGTACGCAGGGAGATGAGCTCCCGTGCTCTGCCGCAGAGCCGCTGAGACGTTTCCACCCAGCTTTCTTGCGCAGACGCACACGTTGGCCTCTCGGTCTCCACACGTGCACAGCCAGACCACGTTGCCCCCCTCCCACTCTCATGCGTGGGGTCGGTCTCTTGCAGAGCCATCGTTTTGCGTCACGTAGCCAGCCCCGTTACTCAGCTCCTGCGGGTAGTGCTCCTGCACTGTCACACGTGCCCCTTTAGTCTCTCAAAACTGACCTTACCTCTGAACGCCTGTTGCCCAAGTGCTGTCACTTCTCCTGGGGTCAGCGTTACTCCTGGCTGTCCCCGTCCACGACCATGAGAGCTATTTTACTGCCTCTCCCTTCCCCCTTCACCATAACAGCACTTCCTTAAAATGATCCTACTAGCCAAAACTCAGGCTTTCTGCTGATTGCAGGTAACTCCCTGCAGTTAGTGAGATGTAATGTATCTAATAAAGACTTCGTGACATTTCAGTCTTGGATCCTGTCAAACCAGTATATGGTAATCTTTCTGCCTGTGGGCAGGCATGGAATATGGAGCAGGAAAAAAGGATAAAGTTCTCCCACCTCCTTCCTTGGCTGACAGCAACAGCCACAAAGGCTACAGGGAGTCAGATAAAAGGAGGGAGGGAGGCAGTACCTGCTGTGTGATAATACTCAAAATCTGGCCTGTTAGCTGAATCTTAGATTGCATTTTGTTCCAGTTAGTGGGTTTTTTCTTTTTCTTTTTTTTTTTTTTTGAAATGAATAAAAAATTCTTTGAGGAAGTTTACATTCTTCACTGATGGCAGTAGTTCTAATCCTCTGATTAAAAAAAGGAATATAAAAAAGGCAGAAATAAACTCCGAAGTTTAAAGGCCAGTATCACAAATAACTTCAATATATTAACATAGTGAAAAATTGATTTGGAAACTTGCTACCAATGCAGTAATAAAACAATAAAAATGTTTTCAGGTAAATAATACAGAAATATAACTTGCTACCAATGCAGTAATAAAACAGCAGCAGGTAAATAATACAGAAATACGGGCTGAAGCTCTAAGATTACCCTTTACTGGGTTATAAATGCATGAACTTAAGGAAAAATTTCTTAACAGTGAGGGTGACAGAGCATTGGAACAGGCTGCCCAGAGAGGTTGTGGAGTCTCCTTCTCTGGAGATCTTCAAAACCCGCTTGGATGCAGTCCTGTGCCACGTGTCTAGGTGACCCTGCGTGTGCAGGGGGGTTGGACTAGATGACCTCTAGAGGTCCCTTCCAACCTTAAGCATTCTGTGATTCTATGTGAAGCTACTGAAGTTTACACATCGTATAGTCTTATAATAACAAATATCAGCCAAAGTTGCCCTGCTGAGACTAACAAGCCCTGAATAATACTCAAACTTTTTACCCTCACTCAGTAAAAATACTTGGTTTTGATAAAAATGCTGTGTTCAAAATATAATCTATTGTATTCAAACGTAGTAATGTTTTGATTCTCTAACTCTACAGTTGTTTCTTTAGAAGATTCAGTATCCTTTCAGTGTAGGAAGGTACATTATAAGCTCAGAGTGGCTTTTTAGTAGTGAATTCCTTGTTAGGAAATAACTCAGGCCATTTGTACTAGACTATTTAAGGCATATTAACTTGGATGTGCTGGATCACATCTCTGGATCTACTGTGGAGCTCTAAGCTATGGAGAGAGCTTATTCATTCCATATTATTCAAGTGAAAGTGATCATATAATATGAAAAAAGTCTGTATTTAGTATTACAATTTTTCATTTTAAGTGCTCATATTATGACAAAATTTGAAAATCGTCACAAGTTTTAACTTTCTAATTTCATGTTTGTCTTTTTGTTTCTAGGTCCTTGGATCAACCATATTATTTGAATTTATACAGAATGTGACTTCTATTTTGTTTTTATCTTTCCACAAACTAATAAACTCCAGTATTACAAAACTGTCTGATCATGCCATCACTCACAAACATTTGCTCCTATTTTTCCTATTATATAATAGAGAAAAATAGAGAAGGTGTCTAGGGATTTGGAGAGTGCACTCAATTCTGAAGGACAAGTACTTTACTTGTAATTTATCAGAATTTATTTCTGACCATTCCAAAATAAAAAATCTCAAAGTGGTATTCAGGATTCCAGTTTCTCCTTGCAGAGCTCCTGGAAGCTCCGTAATCATTACAGTAGCCTATAGGATGGTGGCATATATAAACGGATTTTTTTTTACAGATGTTTATAAAGTCTTAGATTATTTTAACATGGACTTTGTTATTTTAAACTCATTAAATACATTTTCAGCTTTGATTGCAAATCAGTCAGCAATGGGAATAAAAGCTGTTAATCTTCTAAAGCCACAGTTTTCAGCAGGCTGCTCATTTAACTCCATTCCTTTGTAAGAGTGTATTCATATTTGCAAATTCACTGCATCTCTTTTTTTTTCCCTCTGTTTAGTTGATTGACTTGAATACTGATCAAATTCAGACATCTTGGTTTGACATGGCACCGTGCCTGTTTGGGATATATTTTAATGCTGATAAATACAAACGGCAAATAGTGCATAATTTTACTGCAGAAGAATATAAGATATATTACAATATAAGATAGTTGCAGTAGCCATTAACAATTTTAACATGTTTTCATTGTAAATGGATTTTACTTGCTTACTTACGTATTTATTTAGTACATTACTACTTCCTCTGTTTCACAATATTGTTCTAATCTCAGATTAATCATTTATCAAGGATTTCAATCAGAAAAAAATACTTTTCCAGCACTTGAACACTGGAGTGATGTTTTGTCTAGCAATCTCATTAAGAGATCATGTAAGGGTTGAATAAAGGGCAAAACAAATTTGGCATGGAAAATAATCTACCACTGACGTGCTGTCCATACCAGGTATCTAATTATATTCTTGCCTGTTTAATATTTTTACAAAATGCAGGAATATTGGCTGATTGTTCTACTTTCTTTATAATACTTTAATTAGGACTGTGAATACTGTTAGCTGCCTAAAGCAACTAATATGGACATAATGACTTTCCTATTGCTGTAGTCAGAAGG